TCTGGCTGCAATTTCCAATGTTTTTTTAATGTCTGATAAGTGGATTAAAATTGTAGTATCTTCATTATTTTGTAATTATTATTTCTTGCTGTAATTTTAAAAAAAACAAGCACAAAGAAAGAACAAAGAGGAGTGTTGATGTGATGTGGTTCGATTGAATAATAGAGAAAACACACAGCTTAGTTGTGTTTCAATCGTGAAAATATTGAAATCTTCCAAACGCATGTAACCAACTGTTTTTCGTTTCTGCTTAAAGCCGCACCAAGCAGCACACAAGACAGAGGTGAAGGCCATTGATTTGTCAGCGGGGTTACTAGTTAGCAGGACAAATACGCTGATAGACAGGCGGATAGAGAGACAGCCAATCAATTCATCAGCTAGCTAACTACACAAACAGATGGGCAAACAGAAGAGCAGCAGGCAGACAGGCAGGGAAATGAGTTAGGCGGTCTGTTCAGTACCAGGCTGATACGAAGATGGGGGAAGAATTCCTTGTACCACCCACAAATTTGGACAGACCAGTCAACAGACTGAGGGACTTAGTGGCCTGCTGGAGTTCAAACAGTCAGGGATGAGAGAAGCAAAAAACTAAGAAGCCGGTTTATCATTAAACACTAGTTGGTCGAAGTCCCCCGCAATTGCAAATTAGCAGACTTTCATCTATCTCACTAAAAAATCATTTGAATGTGATGTATGAGGCTGCTGAAAAAGAACATGCACACTCCACTACAGAACAAAAACAAAAAACCGACAATGCATGAAGTGCTTAAAAATGTACGTCCAAATAAAGACAGAAATGACACACGGCAGGATGCAGGAACATGCTGGTGGCTCAGTCTGCTTGGTCAAAGAGCAAGCGTTCAAATGCTGCCTCCTGCTGTGCTGTCACATCTCTCTTTACTCCCTGTATTTCACACAATGCTAATATTCTAAATAAGACACTTGAGATGCAAGCTGCTCACTTTCCCTGAAAGACAGAAGTAAGAAACAAACAGCAATTTAGCCCACATGCACGCGGAGCCCGGCTAATGGAACGACTCAGGTTGGGACTTCAAAGAATTACAGCCTGAGTACCAAACATCACTGTAGAGCCCTTATATCAAAGCAAGAGCCTTAACAAGGCTCTTAGAAGTACACAAACACACGTACACTCATGCTCGTACAATACATCCATGCAAGGTCCCCGGAGCGAATCTCTGAAACAGTGACACACTGAGAGTTTGGCCACCGTTGCTCGCTACAGGCATGACTCCTGCTGCCGGTTTGACTGAAATGCAAACAAGCTGACAGATTTATTCTCTGTGCTTTCCATCACGCTCTTAGCCAAGGCTAATATAATGTTTTTGGTGTGTGTGCCTTTATTTCCGTGTGTGCACGGGCGCTGATAATGGGGCCTTTGTATTTGATTATCAGTTAATTAAATCACTGAAGGGATTCTAAGTTCTGGCATTTTTCATGCTGCCTGTTTAAATCTATTGGTTTTTTGTTTATCTGAAGTCAATAAGAAGAATCTGCCAAGATGTGGGACCAGTACGTGATTACCAACTTGCACCGGTGCAAAACGCGCTATAGCGCAAAAATGTTCCGATAGCAATCAGTCACATTTCTAACATTGAGCCTATTTGTATTCACCTGCATATTTTAATCATTAACTTTAATCAGATATTTAATACTAAAGCACAGAAGACTCGTACACTGTGAGGCCGATCTCTTTTAGCAGTTTGTATTATTGGAAAAGAATCACGTATGTCTTTATCGATGAGATATCTGATATCTTTAATCCCATTAAAATTCACTAACGAATATGTGGGTATTCATTATGAACACAGTAAAGATCTTATACTGCTGTGCACTGAAAAAGCTTGTACAGTATGTCACAGTCATAGAGCACAATATGTCCATAAAACAATAAATATAGCATTATGGTCTGCTGTTTGAGACTCACTGATCGGCTGTTTAATTGTAAAGTTTGTATATAAGTACTGTATCTGCTTCTTCTCATGCCTGCCTATTCCTGTATTTTGATTAAATCCCTGTTTATACTGAAGTAATTTGCTCAAAAGGCAGCCAGCCAGTCAAAAAGGCTGACACACACATGGATTTTTGGGCGATGATCAGTTTATCATCCAAATTTTACTTTGTGCCAACATACTAGCTTCTCCATGAAAAAAAAACTTGTACTCAGTGAAATATGTTTCTCCAGTCATGGATTCGGGTCCATATGGGCAGCAGTTGTATCTGCCTCAGATCGCCTGATTGTTGAGTCTGGTGAGCTCATCCCAACTTATAATTCCAATAATGTAACACTGTATGTATATAATGTAATAATGACATGTCTAAATAAAGCCGATAATCATAAACATCGGGAGAAAGATAATCGCTGAGGTTTATACCTACTTCACAAAAGCTTTTGGATGACTATCAAACACAAAAAACAAATGCCCTAATTAGCTATTCACACAGTGCAGTTCGAAAGAATGCGTGTGACACATCCTGTTGTCAGATGAATCATTAGTCATGCGGGCGGTGCCAATATATTAGTGCTGTGCTGCTGTATTTTGAAATGTGCTATGTTTCAGGATTCTAGTTATAAAGTGAAAGCGTCTAAAAGTTGCTGTCAGGTGGAGTCGAGATTTATCGTTTGCTCTGTTTGAATGAGACTCCTTGCACTGTCCAGCTCATTAAGTGACTTCTTGTCATGTTTCAACAACAAAACACTTCGCCGAGAGTACAACGCCTTGAAAGGGAGAAATAACACAAATGATAAATGACACCGAGATCCATTTCAACATGAGGATGAACAGAAGGTTCTTTAAAACACATTTTCATCTGCTCATAAAACAAAGACAGCTCTTAATTCTTCCCATTACACGGTATCATGAGTCGAGCTGGAGCGGGGTAACCGATAGTTTGCATGCTGATACTTTCCCTAATGCTAGCCTAGACGTCCATGTGTTTTGCGTATGCCTGCTTGTTCCTATGTTGTGTGTTTTACGGTTGCTGTGTGTGTGTGTGTCCGTGCCTCCCCTACAGCACTGGCAATGTCACAGCGCCATCCAACACACCCACACAGGCTTTCTGCCTCTCTTCAATGGCATTCCATGTTATTGTTACTGCTTGGCAGGAATAAAGGCTGCTCTTAGGAGTTTAAATGGTTGTGTAGAAGGAAAATAAACTAATAAAAAAAAAGTAAAGCCGCTTTAAAGACCAAAAGAGTGCATTGTTTTGTGATGTTGCGAAGCAGTCAGTTGTTCTGATAATCTGTAGGAAGTTATTTTCTAATGACAGGAACAAACCTGCATCAAAACTAAAGGGCATCATTTGTATAATTTGCTCTTTTAAAGATAGGTACATGTGTATTGTGAATCTGGTAAACTTGCTCTGGTAACCATGTCTGCTTATCTGTGACGTGAATTAAAAAAAATAATAATCTAATGTCATACTCATCTCATTGTTGGTGACTAATGCTGTACATCTACACTTGAAGGTATTTGATAGACGAGTCGAGAATATCAGCTGGACAACAGCATTGCTAAAAGGTTACAAACACATTTACACTGAACTCTTTTCAATGTTCTGTTGATAGTCAGTCCTGTTGGTTTGTTAGCTGTGAATGAGCAGCTAGATCCGAACTCTCTCACAGACAGTAATAATAAAATCTATGCCAAAGTGGATGAAAGAGAAAAAAAAAAGCTGCATAGACGAGCGTATCTATTATTTGGCCAAAGTATATGAACATCCCCCGGTCAATTTCTTGTCCAGAATAGATTTCTATGAAATAAACCGACTGGCAATCAAACCGAACGGGAAAGAGGAAAAAATAAATAAAACACTACCTCATCCTCAGCTGATTGTGATGCAGGTCAACTCAAAGGGCATGCAAGCAATGCACAATAGGCTAAATTAAATACAGAGGCTGTTTTTGAGCCAACTTTTTTAATGCAGTTTGTTCACATGAATTAATTTCTTGTGTTCTTTGTATATTGAAGAGGTCAACATAAATAGAGTTAGGACTGTGAAACAGCCTCGAGCTGCTGCGTCTCACATTTTGCAGTCAAACCAAGATTTTCTGTGGATATATATTTTTCAATATTTTTTTTATTAAATCAATTGGATATTGGAAGTAACTATGTTCAGCCTGCGGGGCAGAACCTTTGTCTCCACCATCTGGCAGCGAGAATAATTAAACAACCACTGTTGCGCATGCTTACAACATACGCCTGCAGCGTTTGCCCGAGCCATTCATCGATTTTCTTTGTAGACTGTAATTCTTCCTCTGAATGGCAAGTTTCTGTTTTATTTGGAGGGTCAGAAACTTTTCTTGGACGCTTTCTATTTTTTTCTCCATCGCACTTCTAGTTGCTGCATCGCCGTCATTAGGACTGATCCCCTCTTTAGCGCTCGGGGACACATTGCAACACCACATTTTTTTACTCCACTGTATTGTAAAACGCAGAGAGATTCACCTGCCGAATATAATCTTAATCCGCATTGTGTATGCTCGCTTAGCAAGAGCTTGGATAAAATTTAAAGAAGTCGCGCAGTCCTGGTTTTAAGAAATAGTCCAGGAATGTTTGGAATGACTGACAAACCACAGAGCTGTACGTATAAGATGATACAAGACAATAAAACAAATCGGAACTACTGTATGTTTTAGCAAAAGTGAAGGTTGGTAATTGTGACGGGATGACTTATATGAATATGTTTCTATGTCGATACCAAAGTAGAATATGTCAATACTAAAAGACCTGCACTTTGTTTCACGTTGAACCGGATGCCCCTGGGCCGCCGCTATAGCTGGCGACCCATGTACAGGGGCTATAGTCCCCGACGCAGCGGCCGTGGGTTCAAATCCCGCTCATGGCCCTTTGCTGCAGGTCCTTCCCCCATTCTTCTTCCCCACTTTCCTGTCTCTCTCTCGACTGTCCGATACAATAAAGGCAATAACTTGCCCCTGCTGAGTTCTGCCGTTCCAAGACAACACAGTATGACCATCCTACCTTCTTGCACCGCCTGGAAAGGGTTGTTCCCGTCGACGAACTCCACAGAGATGGTAATCTTCTCTGTCTCCAAGATCTCGTTGTTCAAATTGAGATCTGCCACAGCAAGGCGAAACACCTCGTCATCTTTCCGTGCCGACTCGTCGAAGATGGCACCTATAGGGAAAAAAAAGCAGGAAAAAAGGAAAAAGGGGAAAGCATCAGTCACTGTTAGAGAGTTTTTGTAATGGAAACAGCAGCCTCAGAAGTATCAAGCATGTTAGGGTGGATGTGACTGTATCGGAACACAAACATCTGGGGAATACGACATGCTCAGCTGGCATAAGAGTGACCTCAAGAAAGCGTCTTGAAATGACTGACTGCCTTAGTATGATACGGGAGGCTGCAAAAGATACACCGGCTGTATTTTCCAAGTGTGCGCATGAGAAAGCTGTACAGAAGAAGAGCCTTTGCTCTGTTATGACATGCTTGAAATGTCTAGAAATGTGGACTTTAAACATCCAGCCCCTGAATAGGGAGCGAGCTTGAGAAAGATAGGGTGTGAGGCAGAAACAAGTTGACATTAGTGCTCATTCTAAGGTCAAACGCTGCCCAAGTAGGACACACTGACTCAGCCAAAACGGGCGCTGCACAAAGGGAAATGGAAGAAGAGAAGACTGGTGTGTGCCAGTATCTGTAGTGGCAGATAAAGTTCCCACTAGTCGATACTAAATTAGTCATAAAAATAAAGGTCAACCTGCAGCGCTGCTAAAACAGAACGAGGCGACATGGGGTGTTGACTGGCTGGTAGAGATTTGGTCTTTGCTTGGTCTGTTACACACAATTAACCATGTGTTGTGGGGCTTTTTTTTTTTTTCTTTTTTCTCCAGTTCTTCCCCTTTAGTCTCTCATTTCAACCCAGTTTATCCCCTGAATCCATCGGGCCACTAATTGTGTAAGCCAGTGCAGTGAAGCAGTGCTAACTGTATTTCACTGACCAGAAAATAAGCCTCATATTGTATAGTGTGGATGTGTGTGTGTGTGTCTGTGCATGTGAAGACACAGGTTGCAAATTCCATTAATAGCCGGGCAGGCGACGTAAGCTGAGGGCTGTTTGGTACCATATTTAGAAAACCGTTGCTGTAATTGGTCCTGTATAGTGTGCTGTTATTACCACAAAGGTTGTGGTCTAAATCCCACAGAGGCCAAACCTACGGAGGAAAATGTGCCGTCTTGATGGTGCAAAGTGCACTTTCGATATAACCGTCTTGAAAAATATTACTTTAATGCGATAAGATTAGTATTTTCAGTCCAGGGATGTGCCAGAGAAATCCACTCGCCTCCTTAATCGTTTGACAGAATGTGCAGCTCCTGCCCCTTGTAGGTTACTATAATGTAATTAAACAGTCGAAAACAATACATTTAATTCAAAACCTGTGGCCTGAACTGTTCTCTTTCTTTCTGTCCCATACTTTTAAACTGGTTGACCAAATTTAACTTCTGAAGGACGACTAATTTCAGCAGCGCCTCTACACACATCCCCAAATTCAAAACCCAAATGCTGTTTGAAAGCAGTTAGGAACGGTATGCTGACTGCCTCTTCATCAAAAGACCTCATGAAATATGTATCCTTCAATAATTTGATTCTTCAGCATTTGGCAACTGTAAATACCCCCCCACTGATTGAGTCCTGGTTCTTTTTATATTCATGCAGTATAGATGAGGTGAGACAAACAGGCCTGGACAAAGCGATAAAGAGTGAAACACAAAGACTCATTAACTATTCCATTAGAGATAAATTATGAATGGTGTCCCAATCAGTTTGAAGATGACACTGCTGGGAAAGGATCTGTACACATTTTAAACTAGCTCAGTGACACAGGAGGACACTGTTAGGTTATATGTCTGGAGGACAAATGCATGGAAAGAGGAGGAGGAGGAGGAGGAGGAGAGGAGAGGAGAGGAGAG